ATATATACATCCACGTACACATACACACAGATAAATACATAAATATACAAGAACGGACGAATAAAGCCAAGAATATGTTGAAGTAGTTAATTAGTGTATTTAATTTTAAACTCCATCTCATAAACATTTCAAGCAGATCAAAAAAATGTCAATTATGCTAGTATACGATATATACCACTAGTATAGATTAATCGAAAGAAATACGCCAATAATATAAGTAGGCAAGGTGGTAATGTTAAGAGAAACAATATCAAGACAAACAGTCAAATCATCGCCCACATACCCTGTACCATACCTTGAGGATGGGCAAAATATTAGTAATCGGAGATGAAGAAAAACAAATATACTCAACAAACTATCAATTAATAATTTTATTAAATCTAGGATTTTAAACCTATTTAAAATCATTCGCCGAATATGTGAATATACAATATATGTGTAACTTCGAAAAATCTAAAATTTGAGACCACTTGTCCAAATATCGAATAATAAAAGATGTTGTTAAACAGAATACGTAACTAACGCCAGTTATTTATTCTTGTTGATTTTTTGATTTAACTAAATAAAATGTGATCAAATCTAACATGTTCATGAATCAAAAAATAACTAATTCGAAAAATAACAAAGTAACAAAATAATAGAATACATTTTAACATCCATTTTTGGAAATTACAAATTGGGAATACAAGAACTCCAACCACATCCAAATCCCTTACCATCCATTTGGAATATTGAAGCTATTTCCGTTGACAGCAAAACTAATGGAGAAAAAGTATCTTAATTTAACGGGCTGCGAAATTTTCGTCAGAAATTTTGAACCGGTCAGGGGTTTTGAGGTTGGTTCCGATTTTGGTGTTCCATGGCAATTTTTTATCCGATTTTGCGTTGTTTTGTTGTTTTCTTCTTTGTTCAGTTTAATAAAACCTAAAATTTACTTACACTTTTTAGGCGATGATAATCCTTGAACAGAACAATCGAATTATTACTGAAGTGTTGGACCTTAAATTTTCTACCGCTAAACAAGGGTAAAGATTTGTATTATAGATTTTATTGCTACTCATTTATTCATTTATTCGTCCTATTTATTTCATTTTTTTGTTTTTTGAAGCTATTTTTTCTTTATCCATTTGTTTGCTTCTCTGATCATCTCATACTTCTGTTTTATTTGCTTATTTCATTTGCATTTTTTTATACTTATTTTTTACATAATAATTTTTATTGGTCTACTTATTCACCTACTACTTTTTACTTTTTATCCCGCTTGTTTTTCTACCGAGTCATCTACTTTATGCATTTTTCTATTCTCTATTTTATATCTTATTTATTTTTTGATGTATTTATTTATCTTATTTATCTTACCGGTTTGTTTGATATCTTATCCGATTATTTGCATTTTATCTCTTTTACTTCACATTTAGCATGTTTTTTCATATTTGTTTATAATAAGACGTACAATTACATATTATAAGTGAAGATTGTGTAGGAGAAAAGTTTTTTTTTCGAAAGCTAAAGTTTATGGGTTTTCTTGTTTTTTTTTTTCACCTCGAAAGAAAATTTCTCATTACTCTACACACTTATGGCAATATCTCAAATAAGACACTTTTCTATTCATGAATGTTTTTTGATCTGTTAAGGCATTCTGAGTAATAGCTAACTGTTTAGGTGGTGTTATGGTATTGTTTAGGTGGCTTTTCGTTCTCTATTTGCTTCCAGCCTCAGATAATTAAGTGGTGAAGACTGAGGTATCTTGGCGACTTGTATGATTTACTGTAGGAAAATTTATTCATCACTTTATAAGTTGGAAAGAGAGAAAAAATTTCTTATTTACGACGCTTCCTTTTTTAGGAATAAACTGGAAAAAGTAGATGTGAGGTTCGCTGATTTCGATGGTGTCGTTTACCACATATCAAATCCTGATGGTGATCGTGGGGTAATTATGGTTTGTTTTTTTGAACGTCGCTTTCGATCGAAATTTAAACCTAGTTTTTAAAGTCAAATGAGTTGAAGCACTTAAAACTACATTTTCATTTTCTTACCGGACGATGATTGTTGTGGTCGGTAACAGGTTCTGAAGTTATGACCAAGTAATAATCTTTTTTTTCTATTCTGAGTTTAAAATTATTTTTTTTTCAGCTTAGCATATCATTGAAATTTTACAAAGAACTGCAGGAGCATGGGGCTGATGAAGTAAACTTTCTGTTTTTATTACTTTTCTTCAATTTTGTTGAATTTTTTAAGTTTAAAAGTTATAATCAAGCGCAACTGATGCGATTTTGGTGTGGCAGCACGTGAATTATAAGAATTTAGGAAATTTTGGGATAAGGAATGACGTTATTTAAAGTGTTGTAAATTAAACATAAATGTTGTTTTCTGTAAATTGTTATCATTATCATAATACATCTTTGTTGTATTTTAGTTATTGCGTCGCGAATATGGCAAATATCTGTGTGTAACGCCGGAATCAAATCATAATGTTTCTCTAATTTACAATTTAAACGAACTGCCGAATGATTACTCGACGATTGTTAGTCAAGCTTCACACTTAAAACGAAATTGTTTTGCATCGGCTTTCGAAAAATATTTCAATTTCCAATCACAAGGTCAAACCGGAGCGAAACGAGCTATAATCCATTACCGAGATGACGAGACGCTGTAATTTTTTTTAATATTAAAAAAAAAATCAAATGTTAGATGTAAATTTTCATCATTGATTAGCTTAAGGCATAACTGGAAATGAGAAATTTAAGTGGTTATATGATCTATGAGTTATGAATTGATAAAATATGATCTATGAGTTATGAATTATATAAAATTTTCACAGAACTACGAATTCTTCTGGCGAGCAACTTGTTAGCTTGGGGAAAATTAGTAATTTCAGGTACGTAGAAACAAAAATTGATCGAGTTACTGTTATATTTAGTACAATTTTCCGTGATCCAGATGACGTAATCATTGGAAAACTGTTTTTACAGGTTTGTTTTCACTTGTAGATCGTGTAAAATTTTTCTGACTCATATTTCATTGATATGCTCAGATTAGTTTTTCAAGCTAGAATTCATGAAGCGTTTGATGATAATGAGGATTTCAAAGGAAGGAGATTTTGCTAGTGATTCAAGTACTCTAAACACTGGAATATAGCAAGAGGAATTTTCTGAAGAGCAAGTAGCGGAAGAAGAATATCGAGATCTAAATTTGTATTTAAATTTGAGTGTGTAGGCTTTCCATATTATAATACTAACTAAGTGATAATGCCACGTGAGTCAACATTCAGTAACTTTTTAAAGCAAATCTCAAGAAGAAATTGAAAAATTTATTTTTAAAGGAATTCCGAGAGGGTCGGAAAGCATCACAGACATCACCTGCAGTACTTTATACAGTAGGTGAACCACCACTTGAATTACGCGACTGCCCCGATGCGCGCGTTGGCGACAATGTTGGATACATCACTTTTGGTAAGTGAAAAAAAATCTTTTTTGCAGTGAAAATTAAGTGATTTACATTTGTTAGTAAAAAAATGACAAGAAGAACGGAGAGAAACAGACGCATCGTACCTATTGATTCTTACATTGCTGTGTCAGCTGTTCAAAATTTTATTATTCAGTTAGAAATCATGTTGAAGCACGTAACTTTTAGTGTTATTCCCACGGCACACGAATATACAAGCACGTGATAATACAATCAATTTGATACATACATTTCGTGATTATCTTCACTATCACATTAAATGTTCGAAGGTTAGTAAATGAACAAATGAATTAAATTTGAATTGTTTATTCAATAGAATAAATTATGCAGTCACAAGTTCATCATCTATTTCTAGACGTCATTCAGCATAATGTTCAGGAACATCGAAAATGAATTTTCGAAAGTGCTTCTGAAAAGTGCTTTTCGATGATTGTTATGCATAGAGCTTGAAATGTTAATCTTGTTTCAGTACACTTAGGTCATATATGTGTTTGTTTTTATATCCATATAAGAAATTAGAATTTTTGTTTCAGGCATACATGCATTCAAGAATGCGAGCCAGGACGAATGACTTCCTTAAAATTTTAAACCGAGCACGACCAGAGGGACGTGTAGAGAAGAAGACATTCTCGTACGTATTTGATTTCTCGTTTTTGTAAAATTGATATCAACATGGTGAGCGTGGGATAGGCATCGTTGGAAAAAATATGTGCTTCGTTGATAGAGGCAAGCAGTTTAAGCGAGATAGCAATATTTGGCATGAAAAAATTGGAATGCTGATGCTGTCATTTGTTTGAATTGTTTTAAATTTAAGTTTTTAAATAAGATATAATCAGTTCTCAAATCAAAGAAAAATATTTCAGAGGGCGCAGCTTCCAACCAATATAAAAGATAGGACGATGTGCTAAAACGAAGTTTCATTTTTACTGCTATTTTGATATGACTGTAAAGTTTTTTAGTTTCTTTGATGACAACATGTGATATTGTGGAGGATGTAAAAAGCATTGTGACAGGAGTATCTTTACTTCTGATATCTTTAATTAATGTAAAATCTATTATCATTGTTGTTCGGTAACATTATAGATGATCGAGAGTGACCAGCTTTCCTCATTAAAGCAGTAAGCGCAAATTTTGCAAAGAAATGAAAAAAGGTGTTGAAGCGTTTCCACTTATTAAAATTAATAAATTGTGAACAGTACAGAATTCTTTTCAAACGCACTCAAGAAGAAGATTTTCAAAAATAATAAATATTTGAATCCCGACGAGAAATGTTCTGATAGTATCCTCAAAAAGAAATTTGGAATTACTGTTCCAGAAACAAAGTGAAATGAATTTCCTGGAGGCAAAGAAATGGCATGCAGATAATGTCTGTTTCGCTAGATTCTATATATTTCCTAAATGTAAAAGCCAAAAATTTGTTCACACAACTATTAGCATACTTTCAGACCAAAATCTTAGAATTCTGCCAATGCCATATTTCTTTATCGGTGCTATAAAATCAATTATATA